GTCTCTGTTCTCATCGCTCTGCAGTGGAGGCTGCTGCTGTGATACGCGACAGGTACCCTCTAAAAGTCCTGCTATCAACCAGGTGTGGTGGCATAGGCCTGTAACCCCAGCACTCAAGAGGCTGAGGCAAGAGGATTGCTGCAAGTTCAAGGCCAACCTGGGTTCTCCATAGTGAGACCTCATCTCAAAAAACAATACAAACAAAAATTCTGATACTGTTTCAAAATGTATTTAATTCCTGTCCTGGTGCTAATATTTTCTGCTTAGAATAGTGGTCGGAAGCCCGGTGCAGTGGTGCACACCTATAACCTAGCACTAGGGCTGGAGCAGCAGAATCACTGCTGGTTCAAGGCCTGGCTGGGTTATATGTTGCCCCCTCCATATCCAGGGGTTTCCAGCTGTGAGCGGAGCCCAGGGTGCACATCTGATTCTGGCCCCACCTGGACTTCCATGTGATGTTAGCCTTCTAGGCAACCTGATTGGCCTGGCAGTGCCTGGCGCCTAGGAAGGGATGCTGTGGGCGTGTCTAGGTGGCCCAGGAGACGTGACCAGAGGGGACCTCTGGTCCTTGCCTCGTTCCCCCCTGCTGCTTCCTCTGCACCTTGCTTCCCTGCTTCCACCTCCTGGTGAGCTGCTAATCAGCTCTGACCATCAGGTTTCTCCAGTTGCCAGTGCAAAGATGCATGGGCAGGACTCAGTCCACACAAAAGTTCTCACTGCGTGTGACCGTACACACCTCCATTCCTAGCTCTTGGGAGGCTGAGGTAGGAAGATCACATTGAGTTTGAGTCCTGCCTGGGCTATACAATGAATTCAAGGCCAGCCTGGAATATGGACCCTGTCTCAAAAAATAAACCCAAGCAAGAAATCCTGTTGAATATTTTGAAAGTTCAGGCTCCTTGCAGGGGCTTTGCAGTATTAACACAGCCCATACAGGAAGCTCTGAGGCCTGCGCCCCTAGCCGGGGCAAGTTCCTTGCTGTGAACCACAAGAGCTCACTGTTCATTGTCTATAAACTCACACGGCTAATTTTTGTTCTGGGCAAAGATTCATTGTAGCCTCAGAAAGTGACTGGTTTTTTTTTTGTGTGTGAAAAAGATTCTTCTTTTAACTCACAACACTAGACCCTCAGGAACCCCAAAAAAAGACAAAAAGAAAAAACCTCTGTAATCTAACATGAGCTGAATTTCCATAACTTCTGTTAGCAGACTTCTGGGGTTTTTTTGTTTTTTTGTAACTTCACATTGTTTGGCTACACGTTTATTTTTAGAGCACAATTTATACCAATTTGGTCACCTAGTTGCTTTTTATTTTACTGGTCCTTGGGAAGAGCTCCACTCCTGGTGACAGGGCTGTGAGGGCGGCTGAGACTTGGGGAGCAGGGGACAGTGTAGGGTGTGTCCCAGTATCGCTGATTCCTAGTTATGCAGAAGCTGGTCAGGGCCTGCGTCTTTGTAACTCAATATCAGGGACGCACTGAAGGGTAGGTGATTGCAGGTTTACAAAGCCGGGCGCACCTCCGAGGGAACCTTCCCGTTGTTTGCAGGCCAGATCCAGCCCGGCGGAGGTGCCAGTGTTCACTGCCCTGCTGCCCCTGTGGCAGCTGCTGCCGTGGCTTAGAAAGGGAGGTGTAAGTGTCAGCAGCCAAAACTTCCTCTCCCCTGCTGGGCACAGTCCTCAAGTGGTGGTGCACCCCTGTCTGCCAGCGCTCTGGGAGGCCAAGGCAAGAGGATGGCTGGTTCAAGCCCAGCCTGGGCAGTTTCGTGACTTAGCAAGACCCTGTCTCAAAACAGAAACTAAAAAAAGGGCGGGAAGTGTAGCTCTGTGCAAAGGCCTGGGTTCCACCCCCAGTACCAAAGATAAATATATATTTTTAAAAATTAAATCCTATTGAAAAAATAGCCTGACAGCAGGATAGAAACCTGTGCCAGGACAAGGACAAGGACGCCTCCTGCGTGACTTGCTGGGAAGGAAGGTTACATGTGATGATTTTTAGTAAGCAGTGTGCATTCCTCACAGACTCCAAGAACTAGTTGGTGGAGATAACTAACCCCGAGACTAACAAACCTCTCGGGAGCCCTGGTGGCCCTGCCCTGGCCCCCCAAGTGTTTGGACCCCACGTGTTTTGGGCTCTGGGACGAGCAGTGAGAAAGGTCTGTTTGCTACTCCTGGGTAGAATCACTGGGAACCTGAGGTCCATAGCCACGCCAGGGCCTGTTAGTGCGCCTTCTGTCTGTCTGTCTGTGCTCGTGTTCACTTGGAGTTCCTGGGGACTGTAACTGTGTGATGAATCCGGCAGCAACGTCACCTGAGAACTACAGTTGCCTGTGGCTGTCACATACTGCACGTGGAGGTGTCGGTGCCTCCGCAGCGGCAACGGCGTGCTCCGGGGATTCCTGTGTGTAGGAGAAGCTCGTGTGCCACTGTTCGTGCCAGCCGTCTCCAGGCTGCCACATTCCATGTCACCATCTCATTGCACCTGTGTCCCCACTGCGCCCTGCTGAGCCCTGGCTGGTCTGTGGGACACAGTCAGTGTCTTCCGAGTGTGTTCTGCAGCCTCGTGAGCAGACTGAGCACTTTCACAAGTGTTAGAAGCACTTCACTGTTACATCGCATGTGCTTATGGATGGACAGGCAATCTTGACTCGTGAACAGGCCTCAGGTGGCCTGCAGACTGTCCCCATGCCCCGTGAGACAGGGTTACACTATGCAGTTCAGGCTGGCCTTGAACTCACAGCCATTCCCCTGCCTCAGTTTCCGAGTGCTGGGATTGCAGGCATGCAGCACCACAGCCAGCTGAGTTTTTCACTGGCTGTCCCTGCCCTTCCAGGGTTATGACCAAAGCAGGGCCTCACAGTTGAGCGTGCATGTTTCAGATAAACTCTGATTGCACAAACCCATTTCTTTCCTGCTTCTCGGAGTTATCTCCTGTTCCCTTTTCCTGTCTCGGTTTGCCGGCCAGAGCAAGGTTAAGCAGCAGAAGTGGCAGAGGTAAAAGGCAGGAACCGGCGATGCACTAAGCATGCGTTCTCTTGTAACCTGGTGAAAAGGTTCTGAATTCCATCTCGGGGCACACAGGAGCCTCGGCCCAGTGGATCAGCAGCGCTGTGCTCTCGCCCCGAGGGGAGGTAGGGCCAAACTTCAGCTCAGGCTGGGCTGTGTGGATGCCCTGTGGGGTTTGCTCGTGACAGTCACCTCCCTTCTCTTCTCCTTCTCCTCCCTTTCTGTCCCCTCCTACATTTGCAGCGCATGATGTTCTGCAGGCATCTACCACATCTTGATTCCTTTTCTTGGCCCTCTGTCTGTTGGTCCCTTTTCCAATCTAAGACTACCTATCTCCCTGAGCTGTGTTTTCTCTCTTATTTTGCCCTTTATTGACTCTTGAGTTTCCCATAAAAGAGAAACCATGCGCTATTTAAGCCTGCCTGTCTGATTTATTTCCATTCACACCACGGTCCAGAGGCATGTCCATTTTCCTACAGAGGGCTCCAGGTTTCCCTTCCTTCTTTATGGCAGATCAGTGCCCATGGTCTGTAAACACCCTCTTTTCTGTATCCATCCCCCTGCTGATGCACACGCAGGCTGCTTCCGAGATTTCGCTGTTGCGAGTTGTGCTGAGGAAGACCCGGGTCACTGTACTGTTTCCAGAATATTCCATCCTCAGCTAGAAAACACACTCAGAAGGATCTCTGCACGCTGAGCTCCCCTCATGGCCTGGCGTCTGTGCCTCCAGGGGGGTGCTGCCCGGCCCCCGCCTCCCCCATCGGCTTAGTCGCCCACACTTTCAGGCTGCTGGAGGAGGTGACTGTGCCAGCCCCGTCCCCAGCCCGGCTGACAGATGAACGCACTGCGTCCCTTTGGTCTCCTTAATGAAATCCCCGGGACGCGTCAATCCTCCCCGCCGATGCTAAGCGGGCATCACACTCCCAGGGCACGGCGCTGCATGATTAATTACTTCAGTCACTTGTGCGGAGTCCCCTGGCACCTGTGTGCTTCTACTTCAAGGAAAAGGCACTAATTGGGGTTTTCTCGAGTTCCGCGTTCTGAGTTCTAGAACCGGGTGTGGACGCAGAGCCTGCTGCCGTCCACTGGAGGAAAGGGCAACACAGCCACCTACAGTAGTGGCCAGGCTGCCCACACACGGGGGGAGAATTGAAGGTAACATCGCACTGTGGGTGCTGCGGGGTGCGCTCATCTCAGCACTCTGGAGCCTGAGGCAGGAGGATCGCCGTGGGCTAAGAGGCCAGCCTGGGCTCTGACATAGTTCAAGGCCAGCCCGGAATAGGTAGCAGCACTTCTGCTTGGCATCAGCCTGTGGTGAAAATCCCCACACCAAGCCGCATGGCCACTGGACTTCCTTCAGGTTGGCCTCAGATTTAGAACAACTCTCCTGCCTCGGCCTCCCGAATTCTGGGATGCCAGGCCTGCGGCACCACGCCTGGCTCCATGCTGGATTTTCCCCTCCTGTTCTCATGTGCCTGTAGTGGGAAATTTCAGAGGGTCGAGGTAGAGGAGAAGGATGGGAGTGACCCTAGCCATCTTCCCTTGCTTGGCGCTGTCTCCTGGCAGGGACCTTGGCCGTGGGGACAGCTCTGCCAGGACTGCAGAGTGCGCCACATCGAAGCCTGGTTCCACCCAGTGACCCGACAACGTCGCCAGCCCCCTACAGCCTGGTCTGTGTGGGAGACCAAGGCCCTGGGACTGGGTTTTGCAGCTGCCCCTCAGTCCCCAGGCGACTTGCCGCTCTGGGCTTGGGCCGGGAACCCACTGACCACCCGAGACTCCGTGTTGACTCAGCCCTGGCCGCGGGCCCCAGGGCCGTCTGAAGCATTTTCCTTTTTTGCACTAAATAAAGCCGAGCTGTTGCTACTGGGAGTTTTCCTTCCTGCTTGTTTGTTCCTGAAATGACCCCTAAGAGGCCTTCCGTGGTGGAGGGGTTTTGCTGAAGCTGTGTCCAGCCCGCTGGGACTAATTGCGGGGTTCGCAGCCCTCCCTCCGCCCCTCCCTCCACCCCTCCCTTCGCAGGTGGCGGCTCCCAGCAGGACTGAAATACCCGCTCCTAAATCAGGAGCAGCTGGGTGGCGTCACCGCGGGGATAAGAGGTGGCATCGGGAGAGCCTGCCCTGGAGCCTGCGGGGCTCGGGCCGCGCGCAAGCCGTGTTGCCCTCCGTGGACCACCATCCGCCTCTGGGTGAGTGGCTGGGCCCCTCGAGGCGCTGTCCCTCACCAGCGAACCTCCCGTCCCAGTGGTGTGTTTTATGCTTCTAGCAGACCCTGCCTGCAGCATTTCACTGTTACTTTGAAGGTTGCCTAACTGCCTGGGTTGCAGTGTGCACTTCTGACTATAAAAGGGTAAACTGAGGCAACAGTGTTTTAAATACCTTGAATGTGTTTCTCTGAAATCTGTTCTTTGTTGCAAAGGACTTCGGGTTTTTTAAAAAAAACTAATGGAGAGAGTAGCAATTATTCAGTGCATGTAAGCAACCCACTGGGGTTTGCTTTTTGTTTTGTCCGGTTCTGTTGGTGGGTTTCCATTTCAATCTGTAGTCTAGGCTGACCTTGAATTCACTATGTACCCCCAGCTGACCTTGAATTCATGGCGAACCTCCTGTTTCAGCCTCCGAAGTTCTGGGATCTGTGGCAGCCGGGCTTTCCAGGGTTTTTAACCTTTTCTTCTGGGTTCTTAGAAAAGATAGTCCCAGGAAGGAATGGTGACAGGCGGGGCAGGTTCCAGCTTATTATGACTTCATGGTTAGAAACAAGCAAAGGCAGCGTCCGATGGAGTGTTTTCCATGTTGGGTCCCAGCTTTTCTTCAAGGGAATTTAAAGGGAATTGTTAAGATGTTCCTCTTTATACTGGACTCAACTCAAAAAGAGACAAAAAGACATGAAACGCTTCACTCTTCTGTAATCTCAGTGTGAGCTCCTTTGTAGAGTGCTGGCTTTGGCATCTGTTTCCGTAGTTTGAGAATGTTTTGGTTCCTTGTAGTTGATCACTGGCCAAGGATCTTTTGTGACATGATTTTCCTTTGTTTTTAGGTGGGATCGTGGTGTTGTTCTGGGGACAGGAGGACTGGCCGGCATCCTTGTGTGAAGTCGGGGCGCCCAGCAGGTAACGGCACAGGGGGAGCAGGAGATGGCCCTGTCAGCATTTAATGCTGGGAAACCCCAGTGAGCCTGAGAGTCCTGGTGAGCTGGGAGACAGACGGGGTGGAAGAGTCCCCGTTTCACAAGGACTCAGAGGTCGGCCAGTGACCATGGATACCATAGAGACGGCAAAACTGGAAGAGGATTTGGAGAATCAAAGCGGTGACGCCCCGAGCACTTACCCTGGCCATGCTGAGCCTGCCGAGGAGGGCAGCAAGGATGCCAAGGAGAAAGCCCCGAGCCCGGCAGGCACGCTGCGCAAGGGTACCCGCAAGTACCCCGACTACATCCAGATTGCCATAGCAACCGAAGCCAGGAGCAAGTTCCCCCTGGAGTGGTGGAAGACTGGCATCGCCTTGGTGTACGCGCTCTTCAGTCTGGTGCTGACCACCGTCATGATCACTGTGGTGCACGAGCGGGTGCCCCCCAAGGAGCTCAGCCCCCCGCTCCCGGACAAGTTCTTCGACTACATCGACCGCGTGAAGTGGGCGTTTTTTGTATCCGAAGTGAACGGGATCATATTGCTTGGATTGTGGATTACACAGTGGGTGTTCCTGAGATACAAGTAAGCGGGTCTATGTTGGTTTTTTCGGTTTGCTATCGGTTTTTATTTTGTTTTGTTTGTTGTTTTTCTGAGGCAGTGTCTTGCTGCCTAGCCCAGACTGGCCTCAAATTCATGGCGATCCTCCTGCCCCAGCCTCCTGAATGCTGAGATCACAGGTGTGCACCATTACCCCAGCCCAATTTGTTTTTAAATGGGTACATATGTCATTTGAAATGACCTTTCTCAGATTTTTTTTTTCTGACAAATGCATAGTGTTATCTAGACTGATGCAGGAAAGCTTCCCTCAGTGTTTACTGAGTACACACACGTGCACATGCGTGCACATTGCTGGGGACCGTGGCTGGAAGCAGTGACCTGGGGTTGATGACTGAGGTGCGGGTCCTGCTTTCCTGCAGCTGGGGCAGGCACTGGAGGCCTGCAGGAGAGATTCGCCCTTCCCCTGCACCTGCTCCAGGCTCTGGCGGGGAGGAGGGGGCTGGCTCGCCACCCCTCTTGGCGGGGATGAGCTCCTGGCATTGTTGGCTCTTTTCCATTCCTGTTGGTGCCCAGCTGTGGGGTTTGCTTAAGACCGAGCCCAGGGCTGGGTCTGCAGCTTGGTGTTGGCGTACAAAGTAAACTTGCCTTCCGGCTCCTTTCCTGTTTCTCCTCCACTGCAAGGCACGGGCCTCAGCTCACCATGTACCACGTACCACCCGAGGTCTCTCTGGTTGCCTGCAGTTCCGTTTCACACGTCTGCTTCCCCTTAGGGTCCTGGTAATGAAGATAGAAGTGTAGTCAAAATACTCCCATAAAAACTGCACCCCTTCCTGGGACCTTGCAAAATATAACGTGTGCTAAACTGAGCGTGAAAACTTTGCGATCCAGTGCAGTCAGAGGGCCTCGCCTTATTCTTACTGCAGAGAAGCTCCCGTGGTCCCTCTTCTGTGGGTCACTGGGGGCCAGTGCCGGGGCCAGCGATCTCTGCTGGGCTGCGTTTTCAGACTTGCCCTGCAACCCCCAGCGGTTCCCTGGCGCCACTCTCCTGAGGTTTCTCTGTGGTGCCAAAGTCAGGAGCGGCAGCCAGCTGCCCGCTGGCTCTGCAGGGCCGAGGCAAAAGCCGCAGTTGTTTGGTGTGGTACTGTTTGTGCTGAGAACAAAGGGCGCGTTTGTCCAGAGGGTGTCAGCCTCTGGACCAGACTCCAGTGTGAGAGGCCCCTGCTGGGCCCCAGATGTTTGTTTTCTTCTTTAATTCGCAGGGAAGTTTTCTCCCATATGTGTGGAAAGAGCCGTTTCCCGGGCTTGGGAAGTCACCCAGCTGTCACCCAGCTTCAGCTGATCTTCCGTAGCTGCCCGGGATGCAGCAGGGTCAGGGCGGCCTGGGCCAGCAGGCAGGGACAGCTGTCTGATGCTCCCCTTGCAAACCATGCTTGTTCATCTTCTTACTTTCTCCTTTTGTTTTGTTCTTTTTGAGACAGGGTCTCACTGTGTAGTTAAGGCAGCCTCAAGCTTGATCTTGTTGCCTTAGCTTTCCCAGTGCTGGGATTATCGGTGTGCATGGCCAGCCGGAACTTTTTACTTTTGCAGTAGAATCAGGCCATGTGTCCTAGTAACTGGTGGAATAATTCATTAACTCTGTTTTGAGTACACCACCTGGGGGCTCCCCACTCCCCACTGCTCCCTCTCTCCTAGCTTGTCTCTCTCTCCCCTCAGCCTCTCTCTCTTGCCTCTCTGTCCTTCCTCTCTTCCCTCTTTCTCTGTGTCTCTTGGCTGTCTGTCTGTCTGTCTGTCTCTCAAAACCATGGGGAAGAAAACTGCGGTACTTTTTCTTCTCAATAAGGCTGTGGCGGGCAGCGTCCCCTGAGTTAGTTTTCTGTTCCATGGCAGCCGCAGCCAGAGCGGCTCAGTGAACTCAGCGGGTCTGCTCATCCCTCCCTGCTGAGCCCTGGACCTTGTCTGTCTGCAGGGTACCCCCTACACAGCACTGTCCTAGGCGCTGCCCAAATCTAGGGCAAATGCTTCCCACTGAGCGAGGGGAGGGAGCCGCACGGTGGATCTGGTTTCTTTTCTGTCCTGGAGAAGTCAGGCTGGACTGCACATCTGTAATCCCAGCCCTTGGGAGGCTGAGGCAGGAGGATCCCTGTGAATCTAAGGCCAGTCTGGGCTCCATAGTGAATTCAAGGCCAGCTTGAACTATTAGTGAAACCCTGTTTCAAAACCGAAAAAAGAAAAGGCAGGGTCAGTGCAGTGAGCCTTGGATTCAAGACACACTGCATCTGTCAGACTAGATTTTTTTTTGATCCCCAAAACCCTGGAATCTTCTTAAAATAAGTGTTGGTGACAGGCAGCTAAATATGTATTTATACATAATTTTTAAAATTAGAAGCCCTACCAGTTACCTGAATTAGACTTTGACCCATGTCAGAACCACAGACTTGGAGAAAACTTGAGAGCTGTGCAGCCCTAACCCGTGGTTACCCACAAGCTCCGGGTGGAGCCGGGCAGGGTGGTGGCACCCAGACCCCAGCATTTCAGGCAGAGCCTTCCCGAGGACACAGCCTCAGAGTCACCACTGGTAGCTTTCTCTCTTTGTTTTGTTCTTTTGCCTGTTTCTTGACTGATCTCTACTTTTTTCAATTTATTTTGAATTGATACACAAAATATACAAATCATACTTTTTTTTTTTGTTCTTGAAAAAGTCTCTCTAAGTAGCCCAAGGATGGCCTCGAACTCATGGTGATCTTCCTGCCTCAGCCTCTCGAGTGTGCGCCCACCACAAATCATCCGTATTAACATTGTACCCTGTGACATTTAAATACAGGCACAAACCGCGTGATGTTCAAGTCCAATAAAACAGAGCTCCGCAAACACTGTCCATTCTTTATTAGCCCCTGTGTGTCCCACCCAGGACGAGCCACCTGTCCCCCACCCCCTTGGTGTGGCTGTCCATCCTGGTGTCTGCCATCTCCAGTGCTGTGGCACTAGGGCTGACTGTGACCGCTGGCCACCTCCCTGTGCTCCTCTCGGCTACTGTCCTTGCCCTGGTGGCCCTGGGCCGCCTCAGTCCTCTGAGACCTCCACTGATACCGGTGCCATGTGGGTGATGCCACTCCTCTCACTTAACTATCATCCTCCTGTCCCATCCGATGTCACCAGCCACAGGACCACCTCCTGCAGGGCTCAGCACAGCCTGCTGGGCTCCCAAATGTGATTTCCAAGTCTCTTGGTGGCACACAGGTCTTCCCCATTGTCTGGCTTTTTAAGATGGGCGTAGGCTGGCCTCAAACTCAGAGATCCTCCTGCCTCAGCCTCTTGAGTGCTGGGATGGCAGGGGTTCATGGCCATGTCCGGCCCGTTTCCTGGCTGTTGTGACCAGAGCCACAGTGCACACAGGTACCATCTCCACGAGAAACTGCAAATGCAGGAACAAAACCTCGCGTTCCTGTTTCTGGGTGTTTTTGCTTGCCTTTTTGATCAGACTGAATAAAAGACAGCAGCAGTCAGTCCACTGCTGGCTTCCCTAGGAAATGGCCTTAAATGCCCCAGCTTACCTTGGCCACCTTGGAAAGGGCCTTCCCTGAAAATCTTGTCAGGAAAAACAGCTGGATCCTGGGCTGTCAAAGCGCCTCTGGCCGCCGCAGACACCCCCTGCTTATGTGGCTGTGACATTTCCCTGAGTGTCCAGGGTCGTCCTGTTGTCAGTCTCACTAAGCTCCATGGCTGAGGCTGGCCCCTCGCTGGGTCCTCTGTGGAGTCTTTTTGGGGAGCAGGCAGGGGACCCAGAGGCTTGCTGAGCTCTCCAGCAAAGCAGGACACTGGATGGAGGCATCCTGACTCAGCCTCGCTTGGGGAGCCGGCCATTGGGGCGCCCCAGCCTGTGCTGCTGCGCAAACAGAAACACCCTCCGATCCGTTGCCGCCTGTGCTCCCGCAGGTCCATCGTAGGCCGACGCTTCTTCTTCCTGCTCGGAACCCTGTACCTGTACCGCTGCATCACGATGTACGTGACCACGCTCCCAGTGCCCAACATGCACATACAGTGTGCGCCTAAGGTAAGGGCGGCCCCGGGGGACAGGGGACCGAGGCCAGGGCGCCTGCCCTGCGCGCCTCCCTCCTCAGCCGCTTGCTGAAATCTAGCTGGTTTTCTACAGACTTCATGATGGGGAAGAATTTAAGGAGTATTTCTAAGGAGGGGAACATCTTCATAGGTAGAAATTTGTTTTCTGCTAACTGAAGACTGCCATGGCTTGACTCTGCTGAGTTTTTGAGACAGAGTCTCACTATGTAGCCTGGGCTGGCTTGGACTGGTGGGGATCCTCCGGCCTGAGCCTCCCAAGTGCTGGGATTACAGGCGTGCCCCACCACACCCAGCTTTTGACTCCATGCTTTCTCCTCCCGTTACTATTTTATTCACATATTCATTGTACATGTATTCAGCTCATGTCCCAGCACCGACTAACCAAAATGAAGTCCTCCCTGGAGCTTAGGCTCTGTGAAGGATGAGGGGTGACGAACGCAGCCTCAGGGTACCATGTGGGGGTGTCAGGGCCAACAGGAGTACTTGGAAACCCTCGGAAAAGCGGGGTGCGGGAGGGGGTGATCAAGGGCAGGAGGAACCGTGGGAACGGAATGAGGGCGCCAGGAAAAGAACACAGCAGTATCACATTGGGTTCAAGGAAGACCAGGGAGGCCATGCATGGGGCGCAGCCTGTCATTCCAGTGTTCAGAAGGCTGACGCAGGAGGGTTGCCAGCCCGGGGCCCAGGCTGAGTTCAAATGCAGCTAAAAAGGCATTGGATTCCAGATGCAGGTTGAAGACAGGACCCACATAAAGGGCTTGCAAGTTGGACATGGGTTTGAGACAGTAATTAAGGATCACCCCGGGGTCTCCAGTCCTTGGGCTGCTAGATGAGGCCGTGTCTAGGCCCTCTAGCGGAAGTCGCAGTTCCTCCATGGAGAGTCTGTGCTTGGACCCCGAGCCCAGTTTATAAAATCAGAAGCACACAGATGGTGCACATGTGGCAAAGGGCGTGGGCCCCGCATCTTATTTCATGGAGCCCCAAGCAGATGTCTAAGGAGAGGGGGACACAGATCCAGGCTGGGCTGGGCTGGCCACCACCTCACCACATAGAGGTGTGGTTTGGAGCAGCTGTAATTTCCAGGAGCCATCAAAGCAGAACGTGTCTGTAATTAAAACCATGTCCGCATTGAATGTAAACACTGGCCGGTTTCTAGCGAAGCTAATTTGAGGCAGGGAGGAGCTCGAAGCATAATAAACACTGGGAGCAGTCCTCAGTGTGTTCCGGGCGCAGCGGGCACAGAGGGGGCTGTGGGCGCATCACGATTACAGGCTGCAGGTGAAACCCTGTTTTTCCTGCAAGACTTACAGTTTTCAGAAGCCACCTTGGCAAACGTGCAACAGGTAACAAGAGCCACGAGCACAGAGGTGGAAACTTGGTGGCGTCCTCGCTGGTCACTGGCAAGGGCCTGTTGTCCCAAGCCAGAGTCCCGTTCAGTAAAGCAGCACACATGCCTGTCAGAGAGAAGGGCGCGTGCTCTGGGCTGTCAGACCTCTGGACCGTGGGGCCCTGGGTGATGATGCTGGGTGGTGGCGGCGGTGCCCCTGCCCTAGGATGGGCAGTGCTAGCCTGGTCGCAGGAGTGCAGGGGAGCATTGTCGTGGATCTGAAAGGAAGAAGGACATGTCCCTCCCAGCGAGGACACCGTGGTTGGCAACCTGTGCACCACTTGCTCCCTGAGCTTGGTGCTGACTGCTGTGTCCCCAGCGGCCTGCGGCTGATGAGATTGGGCACCTGCCTCGCTTCCCTTTGGGTACCAGGGCTGTGGCTGCCAGCGCCCGCTCTGGCATGGGAAGCACATGATATGGCCGACCTCTGAGCCTGTGCTGTCATTTTCTGTACGGCACCTTGCTCTTTTTGTTTTGTTGAGGTGGCTTTTGTGTTTGTTGGTCAGTTTTAGACCTGGTCTTGCGTGGTGACCAAGTGCTGGGCCTCAGACAGGGCACACAGTTTTGGCCACTGCCCGAAACCCCTGCCCCAGCCCACCAACGTCCTCTCTCTCCGCAGTGACTCCTCCCAGCTTTTATCCCTTGACCACGGACCCGCTGCTGGCTTCTGCCACAGCACGTAGGTGTCAGGGGTTGTTTTCCTGATCAAAGCTACTGATGCAAAGCTGCCAGCCCACTCCTAATCCATCATTTTTGAGCCCTCTTAAATTATTTAACGAGTTGGAGCTCCGCTGGATAACTGCATGCATCCTGGCCAGGCGTGAGTCCAGCTGTGTGGGGGGATGTTCACAGTGTGGCCTGAAGCAGATGTTACCTGCCCCAAGCAGGCGCCTCTGCTGTGAACAGGAAGAAAGCGGCTCTGATGGGCTTTCTGGCACATCAAGTGGTGAGGTCACTGGTTATTAATATTTCTGAAGGCTTTGCTCAAGGTCGAACCACCACCTAACGGTATTATTAGCAATGCAGTGAATAATTTAAAGCGTGTCCATAAAACTTGACACTAGAATGAAGAGGACTTGGCTTGAGAACTTCCCCTAGGGTTCTCTTTTGCTTTTAGGCGGGGGCAGGGCCCCGAGATCAGCCCAAGCTGTGATTGCATCAGCTCCTCACCTGTCTCCCCATCTCCCTGTGCCCTGCAGCTGAATGGGGACTCTCAGGCCAAGATACAGCGGATCCTGCGGCTGATCTCTGGCGGTGGGCTGTCGATCACTGGGTCACACATGCTGTGTGGTGACTTCCTCTTCAGCGGCCACACGGTTACGATGACGCTGCTGTACCTGTTCATCAAGGAATGTAAGTCACGACTTGTGCCCACAGGTCCATGGGGCCTGGCCTTGTGGCCACAGAGCGCCCCCATCCTCCTGGGATGGGTGAGTGTGAGAGATGGAGGGGGGCTGTGTGTGCGTGTGTGTGCACGGGTGCTGACTCCAGCTCCTCATTGGTCATTTGAACACTGGCCACGCCGCCTCCGTAGCCCTGAACGAGAGCTGTCTGCCTTGCTTAGCCAACCCCAAGGTAGAAGTGGGATTTGGCAGAGAGGAAGCCAGTTCTCCGCAGTGGCTGCGGAAGCCCGGAGCTGTGTGCCCAGCTGGGCCACCTGGCTCCCTGGTCCGCCTTGCCTTCCAAGGAGTGATCCCGCCCTGCTCAGCCAGAGGCCCCGGACAGTGGCCAGCCGAGTGGCTTCCTCCGCAGAGCTCACAGGCGGTTTCCGGAGCCCCCTGCTGTCTCCCCCCCCCTCCTGTCTCCAGCAGCACTGCCGGGGTGATGCCCCTCTGTCTGGCCCAGGGACGGTGTCAGGTGTTGGGCTGCACTGGGCTCTGCTGCCCGCAGGTTCCCGCAGTGGTGCCCATTTTCTTAGAGCCAGGTGCGTGGGCGTTTAGTTCTCTTCGCCTTTCTGTAGACGAAGACCCCTCTGGCCTAGTGTCACCCCACATGGGCAGGGCGAAGGGCTGGGCACCTCCATCTGGGGATCCTTGTGTTCCTGTCCCCACTCACTCACTGTGGGCTGGGGTGACCTCTTCGAACCTAGCTGCTGCTGGCTGACACCTGCCCTGGCTAGACGAGTGTGACAGACCCTGACGTACCAGGGAGAAGTGGATGGAAGAGCAGGAGGCAGGGAAGAAGCTGCAGAAAGAAAACACCAGGATATTGAAGGCCCGTTTTTAAAAGTACCTGAAGACCAAGTGCTGTTAAAAATAATACCATCTATGCCGGCATGGTGGCACACCTGTAATCCCTGCACTCGGGAGGCTGAGGCAGGAGGGCTGCTTCGAGTTCAAGGCCAGCCTGGTCTATATATAGTGAGACTGTTACTGAATAATAATTAAATAAAATAACAATAATAGGAATAATAATAGCATCCAGAGAGCAGCCCTACTTCTGTGCCATGCACAGCCCTGGTGGCAGGTTAACACTGTGGCCCCTTGACAGAGGCAGGACTGTCCCTACCTCCTCCTGGGTGTTGGTGAGGCAGGTGGCTGGGCCGAATCTGCAGCTAGTGGAGGGTCAGGGCCAGACAAGCAGGCTGGGTGCCCAGCGCTACGCTTGCCTCTCTGGCTGTGTCCTGCTGGAAACAGAGGTTGTGGGTCTCAGAGAGCCCACCGGAGGAGGCTGCTGTCCTGGAAGCAGGTGTCTTGCATGGTCCTTTCATTCGGCAGAAGCCTGGAAACTTGAGATTAATTTTATACTTGCTGAAGGTCACCTTTCCCACCCTGGATTGATTTTGGCTTGGTGTTTTTTAAGGCATGGAAGTTGGCGTGGAAAGAGTTCTAGCCTGAGTTTTCTAATGTTTGGTGAGAAAATGGCAAATGTGTAACCCGTAAGCCCAAGTCACATCCCTAGTGCATTCTGTACATGGACCAGGCTCTGGAGTCCACGCCGGGGCCTGAGCAGTCACATCCGACTCGGGCAGCATCACCTTGTGTCCCTCCTTGGTCGGCATGGACCCCTCCCTGTCTGTGCTGCCATTGCAAGGGATTGACTCTTAGCTCTAAGGCCACATGAAAATGCAGCCTGGATCACTGTGGGTTGCCCAGAGCTGGCTTCTCACAGTGCTGCAAATATCAGCAGGGCCTGTAAAATCTGCCTGCAGAATGGGGCCCTCTGTTGATGCCAAGTGTCTGATGGGTTGGGAACACTTGGGGGTGCCCGCCTGGCATCCTAGCATTCGGAGGCTGAGGCGAGAGATCACAAGAGTCTGAGGCTGGCACGGGTGTCATAGTGAGGTCAGGGCTGGCCTGCACTGCATAGCAAGGGCCTCAGGAAAACACAGCAAAAGACTGCTTGCCACAGTGCCATCCTCAACTCCAAATCTGCATCCAGAAAAGTCGGTCGACCCTGATTTCCTCCTCCCTGTTCATTTTGTGCCCTCCTTTCATAGGACGGCAGCCCTCTTTTGAGCTTTGCTGTTTCTCCTTCTGGGGGGTCACTTGGGGGCCAAGTCCTGCTTAAGTGATGACAGACCCTCTCCCCTCCCTTCCCTGGGCAGCTGGATTAACAGCGGTGGGTGGGGCCTGGGATAGCCACGCCCTGGCGCTTCTCTGTTCCTTCCCTGAGCAAGCCCCAGGCAGCAGTGGTTCGTGCTGGTGAGTGGAGCCCAGTTCTCTCCCCTGGTGACTTCGGATCTGTGTTCTCAGCCAGGCCCTGGGCAGGGAGACGGGACCCTGAGCTGCTCTCGGGGTCGGTGTCGAACCCCAATCGGCACCCTGTCTCTCCCCGGGTGTCGCACTAACTGTGCCTCTTCTGCCATCCAGATTCGCCACGGCACTTCTGGTGGTATCATCTGATCTGCTGGCTGCTGAGCGCTGCTGGGATCACCTGCATCCTCGTAGCGCACGAGCACTATACTATCGATGTGATCCTTGCTTACTATGTCACCACGCGGCTGTTCTGGTGGTACCACTCGATGGCCAATGAGAAGGTGAGAGCGGCCGAGACTCCTTCCCTCTCTCGGGCTGAGGCCCCTTTCCACGCAGGGAGTGCAGGTGGCTTTATGGGAATCATCCCATAGAGAGCAGGTGTGCAGTTTCATCCACACCCAGAGCTCCCGAATCCAGCAGAGGATGCCAGCGGCCCCAGAGACAGAGGCAGGTGAGGGCCGGGTGCAGTGTTCACCCAGCCGCTGTTGGTGCTGACACGCAGGAGCACGGGTGCTGGATCAGATCTGAGGAGGCTCCTGTGTCCGTGGCAGCCTGGGTGGATGACAGGAAAGACCCACTCTGTTCCCTTCAGAATGGAGAGGATGAGAAAATTTTGGGGCCCACATAGCAGCTACTTTTTGAAATCAGGCAAAATAGGTGCCTTGGGGATTAGCAGACACGCACATTTTCGGGCAGTCGGCGCCTGGTAGCTTCCCTTCCGGCCTCCGCCTCTCTGCTTCTTGCTGTGGCCTTTGGCCGTTTCCTGTTCACTCTTACAGAGCTTGCTCAAATGCCATGGCTTCCAGGAAGCCCTCCCATGCTCCCTTCCTGCAGCCTGGTGAACCTGTCCCTTCCCTGGCCTTGCTGTGTCCCTGGTGGCTGAGTGGGCTGCAGCCACAGTGATCTTCGGGTGAGCCTGTGAAGGCTGGTGCAGCCACTGCCTGGCGCTCTGTGAGCAGTGGCTCTGTGATTCTTGAGTTCTTCTAGCTCTGTTCCCTGCTCTGTAGCCTCCCCTTCCTGTCCTCCTTGCCCTCCGCCCTGACCGCGCCCAGCCTGCAGACCACCCTGTGACACCCGCTGGGTGCACCCTGAGCTGCCCTCCTCCTGTGCAGGCCGGCGGAGTGGTACACACATGCACCTCAGAGAGAGACGGGGATCTGGGTCTCAGGCTGGGTGACAGTTACTGCCATGGCGGGGAGTCTGAAGTTACATGTGTGACCACTTAAGAAAAGCCCGACGATGAGCGTGAGGTGTACACCCGTAATCTCAGCACTCACGAGGCTGAGGCAGCAGGATCACCGTGAGTTGGAGGCCAGCCTGGGCTCCGTGGAGAGTTCAAGGCCAGCCTGAACTGCTCAGCATGACAAAACAAAACAAAACAACAAAAGGACAGCCTGAGCGCAAGTCACCAAAGATGTCTGCTTTCTCCTCTCTCCTCCCACTTCCAGAACCTAAAGGTCTCCTCCCAGACGAACTTCTTATCCCGAGCCTGGTGGTTCCCCATCTTCTACTTCTTCGAGAAGAACGTCCAAGGCTCGATCCCTTGTTCCTTCTCCTGGCCACTGTCGTGGCCTCCTGGCTGCTTCAAGTCGTCATGCAAAAGATACTCCCGGGTGCAGAAGTCTGGCGAGGACAACGAGAAGTCCACCTGAGCCGAGGCCCGGCGAGACCGGCACGCTGTGAGCAAAGGCAGCTCCGTCCGTCTTTATTTTAGGGGAACTGTCAGTGCAGAAGCGGACCAAAGGCTGCGGCTCGGTGGGGAGCCAGAGGAAGTGTGTATTACCCAGACTGTTTAATTCCTCCTGAGAAAGCTGCGTCCGTTGGTGACACAACCCTGAGTGGGGTTTCGCGGTGAGCTTGTTAAAGAGGTGCCAAAGAACACGTACCCCTCTTCCCTCTCTCTCCACTGAAGCCTCCGCTGCAGCATCCTTTCGGGGTGTTGTCTTCCTCACGAGGTCAGAGGGATTTGTTTATGTTTGAATAAAAGATCAAGGTCTACGCGGCTACTGGGTACATGAGCTGGGCTCCAGCCGTGGGCAGCGCTGGCCCTGGGCTTCTCGGGGTCCCCTCCAGGTCTGGGAGCTGAGCTCAGATGCACCTTCTTTCCACCCTGGCACAGGGCAGGGAGGAGGGTCGTGGTGAGGCCCCGAACCCCCTGCTACCACCACCCATGCACGAGGTGTCACTTTGACCCTTTTCAGTTTTTAACTGATCATTTTAAACAGAGAAGGAAAAGATCCAAAGAAATCTGAAATTATTTGACCTACCCGTGGATTTTACATGTATGAAAACAGTTCAGTTTAAAACCTCTAAGATGTCCAGGCGTGGTAGCCACGCCAATAGTCTATGTCAGCACTCAGGAGGCTGAGGCTGGAGGATCCCTGTGAGTGACCTGGGCTACATAGTGAGACCCTGCCTCAAAACACCAAAACATGATAAATAGGGTTCATGGGCAGTGAAGGGCATAGTCCTTGCACGTCCGTCAGCATCGCTTGCCTGACACATGTGCTGCTGGGACCCCAGCATAGGCTGCAGATGTGGGTGCTGTGATGCTTGTACCCCTGGACACAAGAGTGGTGCCCTTTGGCCCGCCCAGTCTGGCCCGGCCCCTGGTTTAGAGACCCTGACTAGAACTTGGGAAGCTGTTTGGGCACATTTCACTACAAATTTGCTACAAACCCTTTCTTGCTGGTTCTGCTATGAGTAGTGGCCAAAGCCAGCTGGACCCCGCAGGCCGAGGGCAGCCGACTTTCCCATGCACTGTGAGACGGCAACAGATACAGGAAGGGGTTTAACTGTTTCTAATTTCTTTCAAGTGATGCAAAACAAAGGTGGCTGTTAAACATCTGATTGGATAACCCTGTCAGACTTGATTTAGTGCATGATTTAGTGCTGTCGAATCTTTTGGGTAATTCTCGGCTTAATCTGTTAACTTCATGAATGCTAATTTGTAAGACTTGGGAGAAGGGAGAGACAGATGGCTCCGTTGATAGAGGAGGTGAAATTTCCTTAATTTCATTATAAACCACTTGGCCTTGATACAAATTGACCTTCTCATGGCTTGCAAAAGGCACAACAGATGTGTCCAGAAGGGTCATTACCCTTTGGTGCTAAAATTCTGTCTGTTCAGAGTGGCTCTTTCTCCGTGTCATGGAAGAATCACTAAAGGAAGGGTGGTTGAATTCCAAGACAGGAAGAAAAACTAATCATTTATTTTAAACAAGACTTGAAACCTTCACCATCTTTGGCAGACATTGAAACCCAAGGGTTTTCCCAGTATTTTTTAAATAAACCAGTAATCAACATGTGTCTAGCCTAGCTGGTACGTTTAGACATAATTCTGTGTCATTTCCACCCGTGTGCATTTGTCCGACAATTGAAAACAGATTCCAGACTTGTGTGGTCTGTCAGGAAAATCATTGGATCCTGGAGCCCGGGGCTTGGCCTCTGAGCCTCTTAATTCAAAGAAAACAATCCACAGACCTAAGAGCTTTACATGGGGTCAGGGTAACCTGCTTTCCTGCCATCGGAGAAGGGAACGTGCTAAAGCTTTAAAATCATTGCGTATTGATTATTGGACACCCCTGACCCAGGAAGCCTTGCACTTTAGTCCACTAACCCAGTCGTAGAGAACTAGCAGTCTCCTCCCAGAGGACCTCAAGCTTCTGTGACCCTTGCCTGTGACAGAGCCGTATCTGTGTCCTCTACGTCTCCTGCCTGGCTCTCCCTCTAGTAGATGCAGAGGCAGAGGTAGCTGGGTAACGAAAAGGGAAAATGTCAAGTTTCAAGCAGAAAAAAGAACTTGTGCGACCCATTGATGATGTGGCCTTGGAGACAGCACATTTTCGTGATGCCTTCCCCTAGCCAGTTAAGCTGCAGCTGTTGCCCACAGTCCATGTTTTGGTGCACCTGTGCTCCCGCCTGAATCCCATCCTGTGATTCCGTCCTTCTGTGAAATAGCTACAACGTACGATGCTTACAAATGATGCCACATTTTTTCCTGAATCTTTCCAATGGAAATAAGTGCTCTCAGATTAATTTTATTTTCTAGCTCCTTCACGAGATTTAAAAAGAAAGCATTGCCGTGCCGCACCCACCTGAGCTCAGTGTGAAGTTGCAATTCATTTAAGGCCCCTGAGAACCCAGGCCTTGCTGTGGGCAGGAGGTGGGGTTCAGGCTGTTGACTGGGTTCCGGCGCCCCCTTGTGGCTGGGGGCTCAAACGCCACTCAGTAAACCGTATTTTCGACTTTTGAAAAGGCGTTTGCATTGGTTTCATTTTGTTTGTGCGTGTATTTGATTTTACCGTAGTCCTGGGGAAGGAATCATTTTAAAGACATTTTAAGCCCTTCTCGAAGGGAGGATGTTCTCAGCTTGGCGAGTCGCGAGTCTAGTCTTTTCATCCATTTGATCACTGACAACGTGCGGGGCGTTTTTTACCTCTCAGGATCACAATCATTACTGTCGCCTTGGTAACCACCTACACCTGTTTACTGGGAGTCCCTGTGGGCTTTCTTCCCTGTAAAGGTACATGCTAGAACTCACAGGCTTTGCTTTTAAATTGAAATGTCACATCTTGTTCCTTAAATATCTTGGACATTTATGTTTTCTTTGCCATCATGTTTGTTTTGTACTGTAAACTGATTACGGATTTGAAGCCGGTCTTCACACACTTCTATAGTGTGAGAAGGAATTTCTTACTGAGTTTACATGTTTAAATCAAGCAGACTATAACTCATATGCCATGTAGTAAAGACTTTTCTATGTGTGTGTGTAAAGAGCTGCTGGTATTTTTGCTTTTAATGTCATTATGTTGCAATAATTTAACTCCTTTGACTCCACTGGTAAAAATATTTCCTGTATATGGAGTGCTCTTGACTTCAAAATCCAAACACTGAAAATCATGTCACAGGTACCCAAAGATGAGTTTCTATGCAGAGAGACACCTTGTAAGTTCGGGTATATTTTATTATGCATTAACCTAACTATTATGTTCTAAGTGAATCATGAATGAGAAGAGGGCTTTATTATAGAATTATTTAAAATTGTCCTTTAGAAAAAGAAACTGTATACATAAGCTAATCTAGTTTCCAAGTCGGAATTCACTATTTAATTTATCTCTCCTGCAGTGGTGAGTGTGGCAGGGTGTACGGTTGGGCTACAGTGTATCCACAAAAGAAATACTGCCTCGAGGTTTATGAGGTGGCCAGTTACTTTCTTGTGGAAACTTACTGCACTGTTTCAATGTGTTAAGTGCCTTGTAATAAAGTCAGATTTTAAGTCTAGAATTCATTATTTTCCTGACATATATTTTTCATTATGATATCTACTGTATGCTATTGTAATAGTTTTATTAAATGCTTACATGTTAATCAATTATGTAAATTTCAGAAAAGCCTTTCTTTTACCCACCAATACCTTAATCATTGGTCTGTCGTCTGGGTTTGCGTTCAGATTATTTTTGTTAAAGGAAGTTATCTTTCTGTAGAAATACAGTGTCCTTGCTTGTGATTTTTTGGTCTGCAAAGACATTTCAGGAGGAAATTAGGGGTATAACTATAGTTTATACTTCTGAAATGCTGTCTCACATTTACATTTTAAGTGCCTAATTGTTAAAACTAGTTTACGTTTCTATTCAAAAGAAGATATGTGTATTTGGTTTTTAATCTCTTTGGTTTTGCTTTAAAAAATGCCAGATCCTATACTTTGTATTTACCAATAAACCACGGTGACACTAATGGCCTTTTCAAAACTGGCCTTACTGTTTCTTTTATTTAAAAAGAAAAAAGTGTTCTTAAATTTATTTGGTTTCAGAGTACTTTTAAAACCATGAGTTATTTTCTTCAAGCACTATTTTTATTTTTTTATTATTTATTTATTGAGCTATGTAGCTGAGGCTGGTCTTGAACTCAACACAGTCCTCCTGCCTCAGCCTCCTGAGTGCCGGGATTACAGGTAGGTGCCGCCATACCCGCTCATCAAGCCTTTTCAAAATAAGATAATAATCTTTAATTTATGGAATTGTAAGTCAACTGGAACGGACTCTTTTTCCTGCCCTTGTGTTTAAAGTGGAAAGTTATTTTGAAGGCATATAAGATGGTTTGTGGGGAGCATTCATGCTCCTTGCTACAACCATAGGGCTTCTTGTTTGCGAGGGGACAAAGCTGGCGGCCCTTGAAGGGCACTGCAGCATCTCTGTCGCCCAGTTTGGAAAGCAGTGTCCCGGGCTCCTGGGCAGGGGGCCTGAGGACACTGTCCACAGGGGCTCTTGCTGAGCATTCTTGTGGGCCCAGGGGACAAGGAGGACGTGGCCCGACAGTGGGTCACAGGTAGCTGTCACAGACAGCAGGGATCAGCACTGGGACACCAGGAAACAGCAAAGACCTGGTGAGTTCCTTGGGAGCCTACCCAGGACAGGACGGAAAGCTCGCCTGGGAGCTGACCCTGGCCCTGGCCCTGGCCCTGCCAGGCAGACACCCCTGGGCTGCTCACATGGAAACCATGTACCGCAGACTTGTACAGTGTACCTGCCTGGCAGGAGCTGTGATCAGCTGTTGGGTTCTTAGAAGGCAGCTCCCAGCCAGCACCGATGCAGGAGCACAGGAGAGAAATAGTAGTGTTTTTTTTTCTCTTATTTTCTTTTCTTTCTTCCTTCCTTTCTTGCATTTTGAAGAGAATAAAACCAAACAAAACAGAATAGAGTCAATCAAAACAAAACAATGGACATGGTACATGACTTTAAAACAAAATAGAAGGAAATCCGTAATGATTACCATCATGCCTCATGTCATCTTCAAAAGAACTGCCCGTACCATCAGGCATAATAATATCAAACAAATAGTATGGAATAAGACCAATACAAACCAACCGATGGAAGCACTACAGGACTTCAAAACCAGGTAATAGTAAAGCCACAGTGGGTACCATAATGTATTTTGTTATCTTCAAAGTAGTTGCCTCTTCCATCAGACATGATACAACCAAACAAAACAAAATAGAGTAAAAATCAGTCAAAACAAAACAAAGCAATACTGGGCTTCAGTACAAGCTCATAGGAAATCAACAATGGCTACCATAATATATGTTGTTACCTTTGGAATAGCTGTTCATGCCATCAAATACAGTAAAATTAAACAAACAGAATAAAACCAAACAACAATGAAAACAATACGAGTTTCAAATCACAGTAAGAGATTAACAGTGACCCCTGCCTCCCCTTTTAGACACTTCCTCTCTCCTCACTTTCACGGGATGTGTGGTGCATTTTTATCCCACCCACTCCAGTTTTTTATAACAAGGAGGCAGCACGATGTTCACCCATGTGACGGAACCATTTCATCCATGAGCATGATCTCGAGTTGTATCTGTTTACGTACAACAGACTCAAGGCATCCTTTCTTTATAGCTGAGTAGATTTCCACTGTATAAGAGTGTCATGGCTTTCTAACCAACCTGCAGCTGATGGGTAAGCTACCCCCACTTTTTCCTGATTCCCTGTCACGTAGAGCATTGTTTTCTCACCTTTGACTTTCAGTCTATAAACTGCCTTTTGGGATAATTGTGTTTCTTATATAGAGCATATTGATGGATCCCGTCTCCTGAGGCACTGCCTGTTTCTTTTTATTGGTGCGTTGAGGCCCTCTGTGTCAAGGTTGTGGCCAACATGCGCTGGCTCGTCTCTGCCATGCTATTTCCTGCTGTTGGTGTCTACTTTTCCTCTCCATTCCGTTGTCTGCCCCACTTCGTGAGCCCGCTCTGCCGCTGTTCCTGAAATCATGGTCTTTTTTATTTCTCTCTAAAATGTCCTTCAGCATTCTTTGTAGGGTTAGTTTGGAAGTCATGAATTCCTTCAGTTGTTCTTTGTCATGGAAGTATCTTGTTTCTCCATTAATTCTGAGAGTTTTTCAGGGTACATCAATCTGGGTTGAAGGTTATTTTCTTTCAAGTCAGCTCTTCTTGATTTGATGGTTCATGTTGAGAAGTTTGTCATGATTCTGATGAGTTTTCCTTTATAAGTGAGCTGTTTCTTTTCTCAAACAGCTTTTAATATTCTGTCCTTGTGTTGAATTTCTGGGTTCTTAATTATTATATGTCTGGATGTAGATTTATTTTGGTTTCAGCTCACTGGAGCTCTATATGCCTCACTTATCTGAATGTCACTTTCCTGATGCTTGGGAAGTTTTCTGATACTATTTCTGTAGACTTTTAATGTCATTTGTGTTGACCCTGCTTTTTCATTCACACCTTTTTTTTTGTACCGAGAATTGATCTCTCCACCTCGTCCTTGAAGGCAGGCACTTACAGCACTGAGCTAAATCCCCAGCCACACCTTTTATTCTTCAGTTATGTTTCTTTTGGTTGTCCTGCAGCCGTTGAATTGTTACCTCCTGGTTCCTTATTTTAAAGAGCTCTCTCCTTTCACAGTTGCCCGCTGCAAGCCTGTCTTCGGGGTTTGAAAGTCCATCTTCAGTTTCTTTCAGGCCGTTTTGCCAGCTTTCAGTGGACTTTTTAATTTCCTGGAAATCTCCGAAACTGTTTCATGTATTCTAAGTCTTTTTATCCTCATTCAGGGTTTCCCTCATTTTCCTGTGCTCCTCTATTCTCCACCTCTGTCTTCTTTAGAGGTGCTTAGCAATTCTTTTATTATGTTTTTCATTTCTTCTTGTTCCTGAGATAGTATTTCTGTTCTTATTTCTTTTATGGCCTCATGAACTTGTTTCTTTACGTCAGTTGCCAGCACGTCAGAAAGTGCAGGTGTGCGACCCAATCTCTCCTGTGTTACATCTCCTGGACCAGCTCTGCCTGGGTTGGAGGCCGGAGGCTGCCTTTTGCTTCTTCATCTTGACTTCCTGGGTTTTCTGGACCAGTGGGTAGAGGGTTCCAGGCACTTTCCACATCGGCTACCGTGTTTGGTTCTTCTAGCCAGTGCTGGCCGCGGGTGTCTGATGGTGGCCACGGGGTATGCTGGTGGGGGGCCGCCTCCTGCTTTTCCAGCCTGGATGGGCTCCTGGGTGGCTGGTGGGGTACATGCGGGGGCGGAGCAGCGCATGCAGGCAGTTTCCCCGGGTCTGCTCCCAGCTAGGAGCTGCTGGAGGAGCCAGCTGCAGTTCTGGTTCTGGGCTTATCCTGCCTGGCTCCAAATGTCTCCTGGCCCATAGCCCTCTCCTGCAGGGGGCCTGAGTCCTCTACGGTCACCACCAGCCAGTGCAGTCCTCTCTGTCTGCCACTACCTGCCACCACCGAGTCTCTTTGCAGAGGCCTTCAGGCTCACCAGCCACCACAGAGGCCATGACTGCGCGTCCCCGGGTTCCAACAGCCCTTCGCACAGTGGGTCCAGCTCCAGGTGAAGGTGCTGCCCGCTACCGCCTTCTTGGTTTAAGTCTTTCATTACGCTCTCCGTGGGCGTCTGTTCTCACTTTAGACTCTTCCTGGGTCCGTCCCTGTCTTCCCCTATGGTGCTATATTCCAGCATCTGGACTGTTTCTCAGGGAAGCCACTTACTCCACTCCTTACTGTCACCCCAGCTTCCTAGAAGCCTCCATAATCCTCTTTCTTAAGCCAAATCCACTGAGCAACGAACCAGCAACCTGACTCAGTGAAACGCATGATTGGAACTGCACAAATTGTGGGCCAATTTCTGAAGTATTAAAACCAAAATAAGAGCTGAGTGTGGTGATGCACACCTGTAATCTCAGCACTGGGGAGGCTGAGGCAGCGGGATCACTTTAAATTCAAAGCCAGCCTGGATGTCATTGAAAGACCCTGTCTCAAAACAAAGCCCAGATAGGAATGATGGTTAGAGAGACTGATGTTTATTTATTCACACTTTGTGACTTCTGCCTCACCAGGGTTGGTTTTCAGGGTGGGGGTGTGGCCAGGCAGGCTTCACTGAGTTATTTTGGCCCCCCATGAAAGATGAGTGTGTGGTTTCCCAAAAGACAAGTCTATTAAAACCAGCTGATGGAATGGGGGCTCCAGTAGATAAATTCCAAGCTCTTCCATGTAGCCGGAATCCAGCACACAGGGCCCCTGGAAGGTGGGGTGCACCCACCTTTCCATCCCCCGCCATGCCTGGGGATGGAAAAGTGTCACCTCTGCACCTGCTTCACCTTGGCACAGCTCCCAGCCTGCAGGTGTGGGTTTGCAGGTCCTTAGCTTCGACTTCTCCAAAGGACACGTTCGGTAGAGGTGACCCCAGCTTTGACAACCTTCCCCTTTGACACTTTGGGACTCCTGCAGAGGGAGGGGGATAAGACTCCAGGTACAGGAGCACCAGTGCCTTGCACCAGGCCTGCTGAGGGACAGGACCCGGGCCACGCAGAGCTCGCCCACATTACAGAGGCAGAGCTTCCAAACCAGTCCAGCAAGATGAGACGCTGCTCTGTGCTCACAGCTGTCCTCTGGAGGCCAGGAGGACAGGGCTGCCTTCTACACACGGCCCAGCCTCGGTCCCTGCCCGAAAGACAGCCTTGTCTACCCAGGGGTGGCTGCACCGAGTCCTTCTGCCAGTTCTCACCGCGGGGATTCAAGGACGCGAAGGCACTGCACTGATCTCTGCCATTGCCGGACTGAGGGTGATCGAGGCCTCTGTCTGTGACCCAGGAGTCCCGTGTCTTCGCCAGTGCCTGGGGGAAGGGGGAGCCTGGCTCGTTGGGGTGCTCAGAGATTCACACCTGCATAAGGAACCTTGGCCTCGATCTCATTTTGTTCTCATAAAATACCCCAGGACAGGAGGGGGGGCTGTGCTCCCCA